TAATGTGTGAATGCACCCTGATGTGCTACGCATTCTCCAACGCGCCTAGGCATGCTTCTGATCAGGTGGTCAATGTCCTCCTGTGGTATCTCATTCCAGGCAACCACCAACTCCTCTCGAAGTGCTTCTAGAGTCTGAGGAGGACGTTGCAAATTGAGCAATCTCCTACCCATCATATCCCACACGTGCTCAATTGGGAATAAGTCGGGAGATCTTGGTGGCCATGGTAACAATGTGACATCATTATGTTGAAAGAAGTCTATTGTGACTCTTGCAACATGTGGTCGGGCATTATCTTGCTGGAAAGTTGGATCTGCCAGGGTGTCAAGATAGGGTAAAAGATGGGGTTCTAGAACTTCGTGGATATAACGCTGCGCGTTCATGTTACCTCTGATGAAGATTAAAGGTGACCTGGAACCATAAGCTATAGCACCCCAAACCATAACTCCAACAGTGTGATAAACATGTCTTTCAACAAAAAACTGTGGATTCCTCCTTTCACCACGTCGCCTTCTAACCCTGGCACGACCATCGTGCATGCCTAAACAAAATCGAGACTCGTCACTAAAGACAATACTGTTCCATTCCTGATCCCAGAGTGACCGTTGTCTGCACCACTCAAGGCGATTACGTCGGTGTTCTCGAGTTAAAGGGAGGACCCAGTGTGGCCGGTATGAAAATAAGCCAAAACTTCTCATTCGTCGGTAAACACTTCGCATGCCAATAGGTCTTCCGTGTTCTGCAAATCATTCATTTGCAATGGACCTGGTAGTGGAGAAACGGTCCCTTAAGGCCAATAATCTTAGGCGGCGATCTTCACGGTCTGTTGTTCTAAGGCGGCGTCCAGTGCCCCTTGCTCTTTGCGTACGGCCATGCCTGACAACACCTAACCACAGTATCTACACTTCTTTGCACTCTAACTGCAATTGCCCGAAAAGAAAGTCCAGCTTCCCGAAGTCCCAGTATACGGCCCCTATCAAACTCACTAAGTTGACGAAATCGTACAGGTCTCCGTACTCTAGACATCGTAACCGATCGTAAAGGATGTCAAGAACCAAAATCCGCCAACGTTGATTCTTTACTGCGGCTGAAATATTCATTTTTAGAGCGTTAGTGAATTAAAAAAAAGCAGTATAAAAACCGGAATGTCCAACTGATAAGGCTGAAAATGTTTTCACTTGTTATTTATTTACAGTAAGATAAATACATTCACCAACTTTTATTAAAATAAAACCATTTAAACTGGGTGTTCGGATTTATATGTCACTTAGTATAGTAGAAAAAGGTTATGCGATTCTGGCACGTTACAAACGCAGACAATCACACGTACAGGGTTAAACAACGCAATATGTATATCTATTTCGTGAAAACACTATAAGTTTCATTACTTCCAAATGTTAGACTGACCGATTGTTACGCATAGATCGAATGAGAGGGTGAATAAAGTCCGAATAGCTATTACATACGATCAAGCGCACTCGTATTGAATTAAACTAGAACAAGAAGGCTTTGAGGCCACCTATTGAATTGTGCTTCAAATCCTTGACATATTTGAAAAATGGGAAATAATGAAAAATACGCTAATGACTGTCGTTCAAGGTTCCGCAATGATTGTAACAGATTTTCATCAACCGTTTCGTTACATTTTCTCGGTAGGTTATCCCTCCCCCTGCTGCTGGTGCTTTATAAACAAACTCATGCAATATATAGTGTGTTCCCTGGTGCGTGACAACTTCATCAACGAACGTTCAGGTGCGCTTCCGAACTGTGGGAACAACGGACAAAACAGGTGGTTGAACGCCTATTTCACCCCACCTTATACAATGCCGTACGTAGGGGGTAGATTGCGGGGGTCCCGAGATGTGTTGTTGATATGGATGGCATCGTTAGACAAAAACAGTAGCCCTACATTCCATTCCAAGTGATTGGACTGATTACTTCCAGTCTCTCAGATGCAGGGTGCGACGATTTAAATCCATCGATTTTATCTATTTTAATCGTTGGGATTTCCACCAATTTGAAGCTTTTGAAGTTTTGAGAATGTCGTCACCAAACATTATGTCAGTAAAAGGATCTGATTTTGCGAGGAATTGAACTATTAGTGGCAAGAACCCACACAAGTAGATCCTTTGTTGCTTTCAACGCACAACTCTTTTCGACGTCTGCTAATAGATGTGGTTTTGTCGGATCAAGACGATATGCTAACAGATGATATGGAATGATACATCGTCCGTATCGGTGTCTAAATTTTTGTACTGAACTTAAAATAAGAATCGGAAAGGGTTGCATCAGTTCTTTGAAGCCTGTCAATGACAACAGAAATAAGCTTCAGAATCGCTGGATAGTCTTCACCAGATTTTTTCAAATGAATACTTAAAATGTTTTCTTTCACTACGGCATCGATTTCATTTTTATGCTACTCGCTAACTTAATTTTTTTTCATCCTTTTTCTGCGTATGTCACAGAAGCAAATTAATTATTTCTGAAACATCTTCCTTGTTAAAATATGAGCAGCACAACCATAAGTAATCACGTTCGTTTCAGTAGTTTCTTGTATTTTATTTCTCATTGCGTTTATCTGCCTTATCGGTAACAATGTTACCCACCACACAGTGATTTTATCAAATTTGTAGCAAGGTCTGCCAACTACACAGATCTATGGGGCTTTCTAGATCTGTCTATTAAAAAAGACTTTCCATTTTCTCTAGTTATTGTAGCACTACTAGACTACACAAATAATATTTTTGGGCGAATAGAAAAAAATAATAAAATAAGCCATTTCACCGTTCATTATTGCCATATTTAAGGAAGAATTTAGTTTAAACGGAAAAATCAGACCTTTTGTATTTTTTTAAAAATCGTGATTTTTTGTAACACTGCTCACATGCTAAAGAATATGTGACCCACGATTACACGATGCATCTTCAATTCATCAAAACCTGTCAAAGAAGGGCGAAAGGAGAAGAAGTGTGTCGCTTGAAGGTGCCATGGTATCGTTAACTAAGATTCAAAAATTTCAATTAATCGAGACAGAAGATTGATTGTTGTGGAAAAAAAGTAATGCTGCTTGGACCTAGAATTGCACGATTTAGTTTTGTTGTAATATAATTAAGGATATAGTGAGTTAGTTCTCTCCATTAGAGCTTGCCAGCCATTTGTTGTTTCTTCTTATCCAAAAGGAAACCTTTTTTACATTACATATCAGTTTTGACCATGCCATCCCTCAAAGACAAAGGTTTTTGGACCACACAAAAATCAAGGAACAGCTCCCATCTAAACAGCATCGAGGATGGATAATATAGTCCGTGTCGTAGCACCCAAAACATGTGAGCAGTACTAGAGGCTAGATCTTTCTGGGACTTGTACAGACTGAGGATATCATGTGGGGAATAGAACTTATTATCCTTAAGCAAATAGCCCAGCTTTTCCTAGCAGCTGCCGCTATTGGTTTGGAGCCAAGACCGATCCCCGGGGAACACCCGCGTTGGCGTTGAGGGATGAAGAGGACTCACCCGTCAGTTAGAACGGATATTTTGCGGCCACAGAGGAAGTCAGCCACCGATCTGTAAAGCTTTCTCCATGAGGCCATAGGATGGAAGAATGCATATATCCTCGTTATTACTGTTGCAAGGTTCAAAGTACCTTTAAATTGAAAATTTAAAATTATTCAGGCACACCTTAGTTGACAAAGCTACTTTTTCGAATAACTATAAATTAGGTATTTTTTGTAGAGCACAGGCAGTTTTTCCTTCATCTAACCATACTTCTATTCTAAGTGTTTCTGATAGCAATGTGCTTTGTGCTATAAAAACTTTGGTTGGCAAACAAGGTGATAAGCCTTTGAAAAAAACTAAGATAAGCTAAGAGATCCACTATGTCTGACGTTGGAGATAATATCTTGGTTAAATCGTCAATTGATGTTCAATGAAAATCGCAACGAAAAAAACATTTCTGGAGATAATTCCAAAATACAACCAACAATTTTTGAATTTGAGTTAAAAAGTCGTTCACATCTGAGATTCCATTTCACTGATCTCAGCTTGTCTGTATGTAGGTGAGCCGGTGAAAAATGTAGAGAGTGGATGTGTGGTCGTAGTAGGTAAGAGGGATGTCTTTTAAGTTTTGCATATAGAAACATAGTACGCCGCGCGGATCGAACGTCAGTACTGAATCTTAACCCCACTCTTTTCGCGCCATAATTTATTACAACTTTCAGAGACAATTATCGAAACAAGAATGCCTTGCTGAGGTACTATCTGTTTTCGTTAACGAAGCGCCACATCAGTCGACAATGTTCCGTTGGTATGAAGAATTCAAACGTGGACGGGTGAGTCTTAGCGACGATCCCAGGGCGGGTGCACCAAAGTCGGCAGTCACCCAGGAAAACGTCGATGCTGTGCGCAAACTCATCATTGAAGATAGACATGTGACATATCGCGAGATTGAGGCGTCCTTGAAGATCTCAAAGACCTCAATTCAAAAAAATTTACATGAAGAATTAGGCGTAAGAAAATTAGTTTCTCGTTGGATACCCCACCTGTTGACAGAAGAGCAAAAAGCAGCCAGGGTCGATTGGTGTCAAAAAACGCTTGACCGTTTCAATTTCCGGTGAAGAAAAGCCAACAAATGTCATCCGTTCTCGAAGTGTTTCGAAAAAGATGGTCGTGACATTTGTGTCAAAAGCGGGTCATATTGCAACAATTCCTCTTAACAAGCAAAGAACTGTTACTGCGGATTGGTATACCACTATTTGTTTGCTAAAAGTCATCACCGAGCTTCGAAAAATCAACCATGAAAGAAGAATCATCCTCCACCAAGACAATGCAAGCTCGCACACAGCCCAAAAAACAAGCAGTATTTAACGGAAGAAAACGTGGAATTATTGGACCATCTTCCATATAGTCCCGATCTAAGTCCAAACGATTTCTTTACTTTCCCGAAAATTAAAAACAGACTGCGTAGCCAAAGGTTCCAGTCACCAGAAGAAGCAATTGACGCATTCAAAAATGCCGTTTTGGATCTGCCAGCAAACGAGTGGAATAAGTGCTTCGGAAATTGGTTCTAGCGAATGCAGATGTGTATTATTCTTCGTGGAGAATACTTCGAAAAACCATAAAGTCATTTAAAACTTCCTACCGTGTTGTTTTATTTCCATATGCAAAACTTAAAAGACATCCCCGTAACGGCTTTCAGCTTTGAGTGTCGGTGCAGTATTAGATGCTTATTAGGCGCAGTAAAAATATTTTTGTTAAGTTAAAATCCAAAATATTGAAAATTTGCAAAAGGGTTTTTTGTTTTTTTGTTTCTCAAGTCCACATCAGGTAAGGTTCGACTCCCCAGCACTACTACAAACAAGATAGTCAAAAAATATTTAGTTATTAGGTATTCAATCTGAGCAAGGTTCATTCTCTTGTTTACTAAAATATCGAATCAATTATACCCAAACAGAATTTCTTTCTTTCAAGGATGTTCAATTTGTCCCTGTGAAGAATTTCTTAATACATATATGAGTTATATCAGCCGTTCATGCTGATATGCTAGGAATAATGCCATCCAAGCCACTAATTTCCTAGAAAACCTAGAGTTTACTTTATTGTTCTCAACACATTTTACAGTCAGTTAGATTTAAGCCTTTGTACTGTTAACATCATAATAATATTGTAAATAACGTACATTTTTGAGTTTGTATTTTCGAAACATAAACTTTTTAAAAAAGCGGTCTCGAGGCATCGATCTTATAACTTATGGATGCACCGGAAGGCCCTTGACACTTTCACTTCCCACGCCTGCTGGTGAAGAAATATTGTAATCGCGCATCATTTTGAAAATAAGACATCTTGTTTTTTTGGTTATAACGTATGTCCCAAAAGTTTTGGCAAAAAATTCATTGGCTTTAATTTTAACAAACACAAAATAATATCGAGTTGCCTTTGGAAACAGTTTGTTTATTTACTTTATTGTCAGTTTACATTTATATATTTTGTTTACATATTACACGTTTTCGTTTTAAGATGTATAAATAAGAAATAAGAAAGGGTATCTACACCTACAAGTTCATTGAGCGGGTACCCAAAGCGGAAATCTGTCGAATATTCCAGAATCAAAACATTTCATGCAAAATCATTTATCAAACAATAGCGGAGTACGAGCAGGGAACAGCATGTCCAAATCTCTCAAAAAGTGGAAGACAGCGTACATTTAATGCCCAGAGGTCCCACATATTGGTGAGAAGAGCAAAAAATCAGGTTGGAATGCCAACAAGGAGACTGGCTCGTCAATACAGATCTTCGTATTCCAAGATGCTGTCATCAACTAAGGCAGGTACACTTTGCCAATGGAAAAATCATTAATTTAGATGACGAAAAGTATTTCACTATGAGTAACTGTGAAATGAAGGGAAACGACGAATTTTATACGGACAACGTAGAGGAATCCCTGACAATGTTAGATGTAAACATTAAACGAAATTTGCAGATAACATTCTTGTCTGGTGCGCAATTTCTAACAGAGGTGTAGGAAGACTGGGGGGTGAAGCTTTGAACAGTCAGAGCTATATTGATAAGTGCATTTCCAAATTACTTCAGTTTGTCCGCGAACATCATGCTAATGACCATATCATGTTTTGACTTGACCTAGCTAGGCTTCGACAACCCAACATAACTTTTGTTCCCAAAACTTACACACAGGAACGCCAAATCGAGGATTTTTGGGCTGTATTGCCTAGCGAGGTTTATCATGGAGGCTGTGAAACCCAAAATGAACAATTAAGACGGCGAATTTACCAAAAAGTCAGAGAAATTGAATTCCGTCCAGGACCTCATGAGAGACATTCGAATAAACTTGGGTCTGGTAGAGCAAAATACGCCACTCCACATAACTCGATAGTATAGCTTAGTTAAGTATTGAGTTGTTATTTATGATAAATAGTTAGTGTTTAAATAAATGTCTTCATTAAAAAAAATCTGATATATATTGTGCCAAAACTTTTAGGACACACGTTACGACAGATTTTTCAACTCTCAATAACTAATTGTGAATATTGCAAGACTTAAAACCCTGACGTTATCAAAACTCACGCACGACTCTGTTCTATAGCACCTCCCTCGCGAGTTGAAATTGTGTATTCGCCTTCGGTATCGCGTAATAGTCGCCACCGTTTGTTTTAATTAACGTTATATCTGTTAATTGGACCGAACCCAACGTGGGAATTTCGAATTTTTGGTAGTCGCGCGATATACGTTGTAAGTGATTAATCTGAATATTACCGACGGTGTACGCTGTCACAAAATTACTTACTTAACACTGGCATCTATAGTGTATCGTAAAGTTAAAAATATGAATATACAGGGTGTTTCAGTTTAGTGTTTGATAACTTCAAGATTCGATAGAACTTTTAATTAATGCATAAAGTCTATATAAACATGGGTCGAAAAATGCGAGGCTTCCGAAATACAGGGTGTTTAAATTTACTTTCTAAAATAGTTTTTTTAAATATTTCGAACAATATTTGATGTATAACAGTGAAAATTGGTATTTTTGGTACGACAAAACGAACCATGGGCATAGTTTTACTGTAGCCACTAGAGGGCGCTCTCTACTGTACCTGTAGTGTATTAAAATGACCGAAAATTTTTGTCTTAGTGCAACCTTTTGCTTTTTGAATAAAAAAACTGATTCTTCGCACTTTTCAACATAAAAAAGCTCTCATGTGAATTTTCGTTATAGTTAGCCGTTTTTGAGATATTTCGATTTTTAAGGTTCGATGCATTTTTAATTATTTATGGTAAAATAACATTAAAAAGTCAGTATCTCGATAATTTTTAGAAGTAGGCTGTACCTGCAAATATTTTTGAAATTGAAAGCAGAATAAGGTTAAACGTCAATTAGTTGACAGTTAGTTTTGTTGTCTGTTGAAACCTGAAACGTTTTCTTGCAATTGTGAATGCACGAAATTTAGTTTCTTTTACCTGTTTTTTTTTTTGTAAGTTTTATAAAAATGCCATTTTTTTTCTCCAATCAAGAGTTAGCGGATATTCATTTTGTGTATGGCTTTGTACATAGAAACGCAGTAGAAGCAGCCAGAGAATACGCACGAAGATTTTCAAACAGACGACATCCAACTCGCTCAGTATTTGTAAGAGTAAATCGCCAAATCATTGAAAATGGTTTTGGAAATCTCCAAAGGGATCAAAACATAAATGTTCGTCAGCGCAGACTTACCCGTATGATTCTGCGTGAGTTTGATAGAGATACGACCACAAGTGTTAGGAGAGTTTCTGGTGCCTTGGGAATTTCAGCAAGCCATGTTCAAGAAATGACCATAGACGTCCTTACCATTTGCAACCTATGCAAGGACTACAGCCAGCGGGCGGAGAACGAAGAATCACATTTTGTCAGTGGATTCTTGATAGAACTGATAATAATAGGGAGTTTTTAAGTAACGTTTTATGGACCGATGAGTCATGCTTCACTAGACGTGCAGTGGTAAATTTTCATAATCAACATATTTGGTCGCATGAAAATCCGCATGCAGTTCGGGAAAGAAATTTTCAGCATGAATTTAGTGTGAACGTGTGGATTGGTATCTACCGTAATCGACTATTTGGACCCTACCTTTTGGCTGCAAGGTTAAATGCTGCGACCTTCTTGGAATTTTTAAAGGCTGAACATGCAAATATGTGGGATGATGTTATGTTAGATATAAGAAGATTGGCCTGGTTCCAGCTTGATGGTTGTCCAGCTCATTATTCGAGAATAGTTAGAAACTGGCTGGACGAAAATTATCCAGAAAGATGGATCGGCCGTGGAGGACCAGTCGCCTGGCCTCCACGATCCCCTGACCTAAATCCATTAGATTTCTTTGTGTTGGGATTTCTAAAAGAAAATGTGTACCAGACTCCCGTAACCACAAGAGATATGCTGATAGACAGAATCAGGAATGCATGTGATGAAATAAGACCTTATTTGAATAATGCTATACCACGTTCGATCATTCGTAGATGTGAATTGTGTATTGAACAATTGGCTTTACATTTCGAGCAACTACTTTACATTTTGTATGTTTGTCCTAACTATCCAATAGCATTTTAGTTCTAAATAATTAATGTAATTTGTTAAAAATAATATTGGAAAAATAAACAAATTAATATTCTGTTTTTGTGTTTATTTGGAGTTAGGAATTATTGCTGTGTTTAAAAACACAATCTAAACGATCATCTTAATTACTTGTAATGCCCAAATCGAAAATGAAAAAAAAAATATTATTTTCCCATAAATAATTAAAAATTTATCGAACCTTAAAAATCGAAATATCTCAAAGACGGCTAACTATATCGAAAACTCACAGGAGAGCTTTTTTATGTTTAAAAGTGCGAAGAATCAGTTTTTCATTCAAAAAGCAAAAAATTGCACTAAGACAAATTTTTCGGTCATTTTAATACACTACAGGTACAGTAGAGAGCGACCTCTAGCGGCTAAAACCCTTGTATACCAATTTTCATTGTTATACATCAAATATTGTTCGAAATATTTAAAAAAAACTATTTTAGAAAGTAAATTTAAACACCCCGTTTTTTTTATGCATTAACTTTAAAAGTTCTATCGAATCTTAAAGTTATGCAACAATAAACTGAAACACCCTGTATTAGTGCGTAATTCATTAATCGAAAACATCGACTAACTCCGTCTTCTGTTCATCATCGTCTTTGTAATGTTTAAAAAAATGAAGCATGGTACGAGTAGATTGAAACACACAACATTTTTGTGTCGTGGTTCCTAATCGAACTCAAAACGATAAGCGCATTCGCCAGTTGAGGAGTATGGAATCACAGACCCGTGAATCTACAAGACGAGCTAATCGGTGAAATATCTATCTATACTAAGTGACATATAAATCCGAACACCCAGTTTAAATGGTTTTATTTTAATAACAGTTGGTGAATGTATTTATCTTACTGTAAATAACAAGTGAAAAAATTTTCAGCCTTATCAGTTGGACATTCCGGTTTTTATACTGCTTTTTTTAATTCACTAACGCTCTAAAAATGAATATTTCAGCCGCAGTAAAAAATCAACGTTGGCGGATTTTGGTTCTTGACATCCTTTACGATCGGTTACGATGCCTAGAGTACGGAGACCTGTACGATTTCGTCAACTTAGTGAGTTTGATAGGGGCCGTATAGTGGGACTTCGGGAAGCTGGACTTTCTTTTCGGGCAATTGCAGTTAGAGTGCAAAGAAGTGTAGACACTGTGGTTAGGTGTTGTCAGGCATGGCTTCGAGAAGGCCGTACGCAAAGAGCAAGGGGCACTGGACGCCGCCGTAGAACAACAGACCGTGAAGATCGCCGCCTAAGATTATTGGCCTTAAGGGACCGTTTCTCCACTACCAGGTCCATTGCAAATGAATGGTTTGCAGAACACGGAAGACCTATTGGCATGCGAAGTGTTTACCGACGAATGAGAAGTTTTGGCTTGTTTTCATACCGGCCACACTGGGTCCTCCCTTTAACTCGAGAACACCGACGTAATCGCCTTGAATGGTGCAGACAACGGTCACTCTGGGATCAGGAATGGAACAGTATTGTCTTTAGTGACGAGTCTCGATTTTGTTTAGGCATGCACGATGGTCGTGCCAGGGTTAGAAGGCGACGTGGTGAAAGGAGGAATCCACAGTTTTTGGTTGAAAGACATGTTAATCACACTGTTGGAGTTATGGTTTGGGGTGCTATAGCTTATGGTTCCAGGTCACCTTTAATCTTCATCAGAGGTAACATGAACGCGCAGCGTTATATCCACGAAGTTCTAGAACCCCATCTTTTACCCTATCTTGACACCCTGGCAGATCCAACTTTCCAACAAGATAATGCCCGACCACATGTTGCAAGTGTCACAATAGACTTCTTTCAACATAATGATGTCACATTATTACCATGGCCACCAAGATCTCCCGACTTATCCCCAATTGAGCACGTGTGGGATATGATGGGTAGGAGATTGTTCAATTTGCAACGTCCTCCTCAGACTCTAGAAGCACTTCGAGAGGAGTTGGTGGTTGCATGGAATGAAATACCACAGGAGGACATTGACCACCTGATCAGAAGCATGCCTAGGCGCGTTGGAGAATGCGTAGCACATCAGGGTGCATCCACACATTATTAAAGGTCAAAGGGCTTTAAAGCAGTGCAATCATTTTGAAATTTTTATCATTTACTTATTATGCTTCATTAAATACTTATACAAAATTTTATTAAAATAAAACCATTTAAACTGGGTGTTCGGATTTATATGTCACTTAGTATATCTAATTGTTCCACTCGAAAAATTGCGAGACACAAATAAGATCCACCACCGATTCACATCTATTCCGTTTTTTTTACTATGGATACAGGTCTACCAACTTACAATTGAGATTGTAGGTGTTTTGTGGACACACCCGCCGAGGAAAGAAAAAAGACAAAATTGTTACTCAGGAGTGTTCGGTGTCGTGTGGTTAAAAATGTAATAAAATACTCCAAAACACTCAAAAGTTTTATTTTTCCTCCAAAAAATCCGCCGGAACATTTTAGGTCCCAAAATTGTCCAACGGAAGAAAAAATACCCCAAATTTGGGGAAAAATCTGTGCATGGTAAGGATCAATATAGTCATTCATATGGGATTGGTAGTCACAACGATCATGTGCGCCTGCAGGAATTCCTCTCAGGGGGAGGCGAATTATCATTTAATTTTATATTACATAGATACAGTACCGAGCAAAAGTGGAGAAACATTTAATTTTTTATTATACTATTAAAGTAAACTAAACATTTATGTTTTATTATAAATTAATGTAACATGTAATTCAAAGCCAACATGAAAACTTTTTATTTTATTTTATTTTATTATTAAAAAATACAGCGAGCAAAAATAGAGAAACATAATATACAAAGCAATTGTCGTATACAAAGAAGCAAATACTTGGTTGCATAACCTTTATTTTTGATAACTGCTAGACATCTTTTTCCCATAGAACAAATTAGGCTATATATTGTTACTTTTGGAATAGAATTCCAGGCGACTTCGATTGTTCCAAATAGTTCGGCACTATTTTTTAACTTTTCTGGATGTTCATTTCGAATTTTTTTAACAACTAAATCCCATAGGTTCTCTATGGGGTTAAGGTCTGGACTCTGAGCTGGCCACTTAATGACATTAATATTGTGATCTGCAAAAATTTTTTTTATTATTGTGCTTGGGGTCGTTGTCATGCTGGTACCGCCAGCGTAGAGGTATGTTTTCTTCTGCGTAAGGTAGCATGGTATCAGTTAATATTTCCAAGTATTTGTACAGGTCCATACATAATTCCTTCAATTTTGACGATGGGTCCCATCTGAAGACCACAGAAGCAACCCCATACTTGAACCTTCCCGCCTCCGTGTTTGATTGTGCCCAAAGTGAACTTGGGCATCAAATCGCTTGTTTTTAGGACGACTTACCCATAAAATGCCAGCCGACGAAAATAAATTAAATTTACTTTCATCAGAAAACAATACAGAATTCCACCTTGTTTCTGACCAGTTCAAATGATCGTAAGCAAATTGAAGACGGGCGGTCCGCTTTTTCTTGGAAATACAGGGTTTTTTAGATAGTCTCCCTGCTGGTAAATCACTCTCCCTTAAACGTCTTCGAACAGACACCAATATTTACTTCTCCAAATTGAGCGGTTATATCGGCAGCAATCGTAAATGGATTTTTAAGAGCAAGTGTTTTAATTTTCCTATCAGACCTAGGTGTGGTTTTTCGCGATCTACCAGTCTTAGGAGAGCTTACCAACTATTTTCTGGGGCGGAACAGCTTATTAGTTTTGCAAATTACCGATCGGCTTAAATTCAACTATTTGGCTATGGTTGCTTGTTTAATGCCTGATCGATATTTTAAATTAATCAATTCTTTTATTTGCAAATTCAATGTAATTCGTCTGGCCATCTTTTTGAACTACAACTTTACCAAATACACTCAAAAATAACACCTATTCTAATCAACGACTAAATATAAACTAACTATTATAAAATATTTAATAATAATAATAATAATTAACGTCTTTTATTTGTAATATTCTTACAGGAGGCGAGATTTAGATTATATACGTATATCTATTCTACCATCTAACCCCCTTAACAATATGAGATGTAAAAAAAAAATAATAATAATAAAAATAATAATCCATATTTCTCTACTTTTGCTCGTTGAATAAAAAACCGACCATATTACATTGAAAAAAAAGAACGTATACAAAGATAAGCATTTCATTATCTTGATGTAGTCATACATAAAAAACTTTAGCGTACAGTTTTGGGTTATAGTAAATCTTTCTGGATTTTTATTTGTAATGTGATTTGTTTCTCTACTTTTGCTCGGTACTGTATAGTCGTACATATTCGTAGCTAACTTTTTTCTCAGAAGTGCCAAACATACTCTTTTACAAACTGATGTCAGGGTATCGTCGGAAATATTGAGTCAACTTACGAAACAGTGTCTGTTGGGGTTGGGGTTTTCTTTTTCAGAGATAACAAGTTCAAAAAAAATGAAAAAGTACTCACTGTTCAGTTGAATTGAAATTCCAAGGCGGCTCTGACGTAAAATCCGTATTTACATCGTAGTTGTACGTCGTATAACTGTACGCTGGCGCTGTATACGTGATCGAGGGATAGCACAGGACCGGCTTCGATTTGATTCCGGTTTGAATGAGTTCTCTTAAGACATTGGTGTATATGCTACTAAGAAAATCAGCTTACTTTCTCAACATCTTCATATTATAAAATAATCACAGAACATATACCGGAAGTTTCAAATTCGAGTCTCACCGTTGAAATCTCGGAAACGGAAAGCGATATTAAGATAGAAAGTGCCGGATATACACGATATTTCATCCAAATCGTTTTAATTTTTCCTAACTTTATTTGAGACGGGGTTTCAAAATAATAAGGATATTAACAATGTTACTTTTTCTCATATACAAGGTGGCATAATTAGAATACAATATAACGTTTTGTCTCTTGTCTTCAACTGTAGTTTATCTTCATACTTCTTATCAGATTTTGGCACAGATAAATGAAGTTTGTAATTCTGATTCCGAACATGTAATATGTCATATATTGACAATACCAAACCTTAGTTAAAAAACAGAATTCCCTAAGTAGTTCATTAAAAAAATATCAGATAGTCATTTATTTCTTAATATCATCAGCCCATCGTGCGTACTCCATTTTCTTTGCATTCTATATATTTTTTTGATACCCTAAAACCCAGCGGAAAGCAAATTTATTTTTGGGAGATATGATTTACCCTATATTCTCCTATTCACGTGGAAATCCATTAACCAATACATTTATATTTTCATCTTTTGTATTATTTTCAATAAATAAACGATTTTCATACATGCAAATTCAGTAACATTTGCTATCAAGACGATCTCGTATTTATGTGTGGAAAGTGAAACAAAGTATGTTGGCATGTTTTACTCGAACCCAAATCCATCTTTACCATAAACAATAATTTATCATGTTCCAAATAAAAAACACGATTCCATAACAACCAATAAATAAAATAATTGACGTCTGTTTAGCCAGCACATTGTTGTTCTTCCAGAGGCATATGAAAAACAGCTACATCCTCTAACATTTTTCAAAATCACGCAACATCCTGAATAAACTGAAGATTCAATGCGACTTGGCATTCAAAGCAGATTAATCACCAAGCGATACGAATGTCGAAAAAAACACCAGATGTGACCATCAACGGCTAATCAGTGTGGCCAAAAAGCGAGTAACGTTTTAGGTCAGTTGGTTAAGAAAATAAATGCTACTGAAAGTAATTACTTGAATTGAAGAAAATAACATGCTAATAATTATGCGAAGATAACCAGAGCTTAACTGTCAGGTGTTTACACACGTAATAGGTCCTCTACAATAGATAAATAATTTATTGGACATGTATAAATTGTATGTCAAATCATTGGATGCAGATACCATAGAGTAAAAGAAAGTCAAACATTTACAATAAAAAAAAAAACTAGCGCACATGAGACATGAAGAGAAAAGATAATTTAAAAATTCCTCAACATAATAGAAAAACTGATTCGTTTTTTGAGTTGCATGTAATTCAGCTTCAGTCTAACGTGGAAGTGTCAGTGCTCCAGCTTGTCTTGAGAGTTGATAAAGACTCTTCGAAAGAGAAATAATATACATATATATATATATATATATATAAAACAAAAAGTAGGAAAATAATGGGCAGAATCCGCAAAAAGGAGGAAAGTGGATTTGAGCAGAAAATAGGATAGGTAACCCGAGCGATACGTATTTCTGCTGGTTGGCTTCATCAGGCCCGAAATTAATGCACATATGAAACTACAAAAGTAGATACACATGCCCACACATCCGGATACGGGTGCAACCTGAGGAAACGAAGATGGAGAGGGAAAAAAATGACACACGAAGCCCACAACAAGAGCCAATCTACACATTATAGTATAAAACGGCTAGAAGACCTCGAATTTTCAAGGAGACATCTAACCACAACCACGCGGCCGCTTATAGCCACTTGCTGTGGTACTTCAAGCCCAAAGGATCTACAAAGCGAAAATGATCATGCGGAGAAAGGTATATAACAAAAAGTAGGAAAATAATCCGTATCCGGATGTGTGGGCATGTGTATCTACTTTTGTAGTTTCATAAGTGCATTCATTTCGGGCCTGATGAAGCCAACCAGCAGAAATACGTATCGCTCGGGTTACCTATCCTTTTTTCTGCTCGAATTCACTTTCCTCCTTTTTGCGGATTTTGCACATTATTTTCCTACTTTTTGTTATATACCTTTTTCCGCATGATCATTTTCTCTCTCTCTCTCTATATATATATATATATATATAAATTGATTCTATTTAGAAGGTTTATTTCTTACTTAGACTGATTCTTCAATTGACAGCTAGGAGAAGTAAGTAGATTTGTCGCGAATAAAAGTATTAATTCCGTTATATTCAACATTCAACTGTCTACGTAAATTTAGGTTACTGACTATACAACATCTAGGAATAGAGCAATTGCGTAGGAATGATAGACAGATTAAACTTCATTTTTAATTTTGTACTGCTCTGAATCTAGCAATATATCTTTGAAAAGAAATGTCTTGCAAATATGGGAAAATGTTATTTAGTGTATCTAGAACCAACTGAAAAAATGTGTTATTGCCCTCAGTCTGGCACACTTTTCAAGGACTGATCGCAATGATAGATTTGCCGCTCTAAATCGATAAAGTATTAAAAATGTTCGCTACTGGTTGTGGTCGGACCAATAAATGTTAATTGGGGTTAAACAGAGAGGAAAATCGCAAGTTTGTTTTGCACGCTTTTGAACTTTCCGACCATACTGGTACGAGTAGTGGAATGCCAGAAATGTTCTCGTTTTATTATTTTGAGTTGCGTTTTACACACATTAGGGATCAAGGATCAGTTCTTGGACTACTCTTTATTTTGTAAACAGGGTTGTGAAATTTTGTACTATTTAGTTTTTTGCTGACGACTCAATTATGTCATAGTCTCCATCATGAGAATTTAGAAATTTCAGAAGGACAAATATTAGTCTACCTAGATTCTATTTAATCGTTAATAATATCTAAAATCACATATTGTGATTTAGTATACTATCCATTTCTAGATTCAATTTCAGCTAAACCAGAAAAATATTAAAAATTCATGTTGTAGATTGATTTTCAACTTAAGAAAAGATGATCATATTAGTACATGTTTCGAACAGCTGAACTGGTTGAATAATGCAAAATTGTATGAACTTGATTAATTACGCTATGGTCACAAACTCCTATGTACGTCAATTCTTTCATTTTTGAAAAATAAATTGATGTCTCGTGAATATATGCATTCAAGAAACATTCATTGACACTTTAACTATGCCTCTTCACAAAACTTTATTTCATAAATGCTTTACATATAATGCCATCAATCTATATAATGCATTACCATCGACTACTAAACATCTTGATTTCAATAATTTCAAAAAGCAAATTAAACAAATTATCTTTGATGCTAAAATCTGAAACCCCCAGTATATAGTTCAGCCATTCTTCTGTATATTATATGTACAACTTTCATGTGTACATTGTATGCAATATATAATAACTTTTGTTCAAATTTTGGAAGAATATTTTGTTAAAATTGTTTTCAATATTCTAGTGCGTTATTTTCAAGGGTTAAATGGTAGAATAGCTTGTAGCTAAACTTCGCCTGAAATAAAAGTCGTTTATTATTGTTATTTCAAATTTTAAAGGGGATGAATTGTTGACTTGAGAATTTGAAATAAATCGTTTACCTGAATATGTGGTTTAGAAGTATTTAGATAAAAGCTAAATAAATTCCCCACGAATGGAGCTGCATGTTTTTCGAAAATGCATATGTTTTGGAAACTGTGGTGGATAACGAGGTGCCGTTTTGACCAGCGAACTTTATATAAAAATTAAGCTCAGACATCGATACCAGTCGTCGCGTGTACTAAGTAATTTTCCCTTTAAATGCATCCAAAATAAACTACCATGTACATCTACTTTTGATTCACTTGAGCAGACTAAAATCATAAGGTTGATGAAAATCTTTAGCGAATCGCTATCAAAGGGTTACTATTGATTCGAATGTGTCGCCATTCCATCTGGAGTACCCCAAGATTCTGTACTTGGACTATTACTATTTATTTACATATGGGTTGAACACTGTAGTATTCCATTTTTTGCTGATGACTCAAATTTAT